GGTTGCCGCCTGGTGGCCACCATCAGCACTGTTGGGGGACTGGATATCTACGACCTTGATGCGTCACAGGCCTTCGCCAAGCAGGTACTAGCTTTTGTTACTGTGACTGTGACCTTGTCACTGTCTAAGTATGCCCTCTTTGTATCCCCCAGGGAGTTACACAAAAAAGAGGGCGTAAAAGTGGAATCCACCCGGGAAAGAGTTTATTGTGTAAAAAATCCGGAGTTTCTTTCTTAGGTGGCTGATGTCCAGCGCTGTATGTCCCCGCGAAGCCCGGCCATGGAGCGGACTGGCGGTGCCATTGCAGTCCGTGTGCAACTCATTGTCTGAGATGCGACAGTGGCTTTTAAGTGATTGTCAAGCACGTTCGCTTGTGGCATGATTGGGTGCGTTGGAATAAGGTCACCTACTGAGTGAGGCACCTAAGTGGCCCTTGAGGAACTACGACTAGTTGGGCACGCGCGTGGACTCCCGTGCGTCTCTCCCTGTCATTGTGTAATGACCAGTCACCAGCGAAGGCATATGACCTTGGAGGCAGTCCGCACTGACAGAGGAATCATTGTGGCAGTCGGCCACAGGCACGAAGCCTCAGGAAGGCTGGCATTTGGTAAGGCTAGGCTCCTAACGCTTGCTTTCTGGGTTAGGAAACTTAAGAAATAATTCCGTTGTTGAGCCACACAAAGACTAAGCGTTTTTGGTCAGGATTCTTTATAAATGACACCCTGTTTAAGTAACTACAGATTTCGTTGTAGTTTACTATTAAGTGCAGTCATTAGTTTATTATTTTGTTTTGTGGGTTTCAGTTTAGTTATTTTTAGTTCAGTAAGTTTTGTTTAGTTTCGGTTTTATTATTTAGTTTTATTGGTTTTAATTTATTAGGTTTAATTTAGTTTTTATTTTATTAGTTTATTATTCAGTTTTTTTATATTTCTTCCCCCTGATATGCCCATAAGCACTGCAATGCTTACCGCTAGGCTGTTCTTGCAATTTGACTGTAGAGCTGTGCTTACTGTGTCCAGTAGACGCGCACTGGAAAAAGTGTTTAGGCTCATTCTCAGTAGCCTGATTTTGATAAATTTTCAATTTGTTGTCGCGCGACAACAAACTATAAAATTGGCTAAATTCGTGCTACTGAAACGTTGGAAGTAGCTTTTTTATTATTAATGTTCACCAGTAGGTCACAAGGAATCCCTACCAAGGTTTCTCGATTTCTTACGCATGCTGCTGTCAATACATATTAAAATACAATGTAGTCCGTTTCAAATCTGTAACTACTGTCTGATCCCCAAGCCTGCTCCACCTGCGTACCATGTCTCTGACATGGATACGTCAGACATTGCATCCAAGGACTCCCAACCCAGGTCGTGTCGATCTCTGTCATCATCATCCTCCTCGAAGAGGATTTCGAAAAACAACAGCGCCCTTGTTCATTCTTCTACTCAGGAAGTCCGGGACTTAGACCTTGTGGATGACGAGGTAAGCTGGTTGCTGTTTGCTTGCCTCTCCCTCTCTGTCTGGCTTCTACCTCAATACTAACAGACTAAAATGACGCTCTTTTCGCCGGACTTTTAAGACGAAACAACTTCTCGGCCTTCGACGGCTTCGCGCTCTGCTCAAGGAGTATGGCAAGTTCCCGGCAAAGCACAGGTAAATGACGTGGCACTTCCATTGCTGTTGGACGTAATGCCCTGCCTTCGTCCCGATACCGTCCCCCACTATTTCATGATCTTTTCGGGTGATTTTAGACTCTTCATCTGGCGTTATCTTCTCAAACTGCCCGAGAATACAGAAGCTTACAAGGCATTGTCACAGAAGGGTATTCATCCCTCTTTTGCTAATCTGGCAGAAAAATATCCCGTTAGAAGTTCAAAACTTTTTCGGAGCCTTCAGCGGTGAGTAGACGCCCCCTCCCTCTTTGATCTACCATCACTTAAATTTCAGCATCTGATAGGCGTATGACAGGAATTTATTTATCACCGACGAGTAACTTACGTGGCTCCCTAGACCGGACACCTGAATAGGGAAGCCCTGTCCAAGTTGGCCCTGCGGATAATTCCAGGAAAATAAATTCTCTCATGTCCTAACCCGAACACTGGCCTACTAGTTCATGTAAATCCCTCTAGGCGAAACTGACTAGCTCTTATAGTCTTTGTTTTGTCCCCAGTCAAGAAAAACCAGATAGGTATATAATAAAGTCGGTCGGTTTTAAATATTAAACGAGGATACCAGCGCTGCCATAAAAGCCGGAGGATTGCATCGGCTTTGTGAACACAAATCATTCCTGTGTCAGTCTGATCGCGGCGGCGGTCTGGACCCTTTGTGCGATCGATTACGTGAATTGATGCGAGTGTTCGCCTTCCAGGTGTGTGTATAGGTAAAGTAGAAAGCCCGTAGATCACCGGAATTATGCTTTTATTCATTTGAGCTTTCGAACTCTTACTGGAGTCCATTGTCAGAAATAAAAGTGGAAACGAAATCCAAGCCACGATTATAGGGGAACAGGGGCCAATCAACCATCAGTGACATCAGTCCGGAGGTGACTGTACAGGGCTCTGCATTCCGGCACCAGATCGATAAATCAATTGATTGAGTTCTCAACTGAGCCCCAAGCTTCAATTAATTCTCGGTCTGTCGTTTTCCCAGCGTGGGCGATTGTCTTCGCGACTCAGACGAATAAAACCATAATTCCGATGGTTTACGTGCCTTCTTCTTCTTCTTCTTCTTCTTCTTCTTCTTCTTCTTCTTCTCATTAATTATTATCTGTTTCATTGTACGCAAGTACAGGCTTACGCGCGTAAACCACTAGCCTGCAGAACTTCCCGACAATGACTTTCTGGTAATTTTTGTTACCGAGTGACTAAATAGCCATTTTGCTTCTCTTGCGAGTCAATTATTTAACAACTTTTCAACTAAAGTATCGAAACGCATTAATCATTTTTGAACTTTACCTCTTACCTATACTCTCAAAACCTGTCTAGGACCTGTTCGGCGTTGGCCTTCTGGTCCGAACTCTTTGGGGAGACCACCTATCTGCCTCTGCTGGCATTCCCTTTCGTGAAGCTCTTCCAGGGAAATCAACTGCAGGCCTTCGAAGTGCTGGCCACCGTTCTGAGTGCGTTTTCTACTTTACTAGCTAACTTTCAATGTTTTTATGTGTGATAGAAGCCAAAACGGAGGATTATTGATTAGGAACAGTGGGTTGAGCTTTTTTAAGGAATACAGTGTACCCATCTTTAAAGGCGCGTAGAATTACTTCTTTAATGGACATTTTTGGTTATAGTAAATAATTTCCCGTTCATCCCCATGGGGCAGTTAACTCAATCTAAACCAACCAAATTAGTTTCTTTACAGAGAACTCGCCTACTAGTTAAATCCGAGAGCATTGTGCGACTCTTCTCTCCTCGTCTGTTTACTGGAAGTCTATTTTCCATCTCCAAGTATGACGATTTTTCCAGAATAGTCTATTTAGCAAAGATATGTTTTTGGAACTTCATCATCGGGCCTGTACAACTGCATTGATCAGTATCAGTTTATTGAGGGATATGCAGGTAGATTGCCTTTGAGTTCCCTTCTTGTACATGTGTTTCGTTGTAGCAGAAAAATGGTATCTCAGTCTAATGGCGAGGCCAATTGTCCTGAGTCATGAGGTGGTGAAAAATGAGCAGACAGTAAAAAACCTCCTAAGGTTTCTTCAGGAGAAAAACTGTCGCGGCGAGAGACACGCACAGTGACTCAAACATGATTGGTAGAACAGACACACTGAAGAAAGGACGACATAAAGACGAGGGCCGTGAGCCAGAGTATCCATTCTCTGAAGATGGTTAGGCGAGACAACTACCCGAAACGTCAGGCTTGTAATAAACCTCTCCCGGTGAACGTTTCTCTTTCTTCTGTATAACCACTGCCTCGGCTGTTGCTACCACCTGTTGACGTAGGCTCTTAGAGAAGTCGGTTGATGTCTGGTAGGCAACCGGAAAAGGGCTTATGTGGACTCGACTCGGTGAGTCTTATCGACAAGCTGTACCAACAAAAAGAACTCGAGATCGATCTAGTTTCGCTTTTACTTAGACAGGCCAGTATGTGCTCATGTACCCTCTTTTCTGGGCGCCTCGCTGTTCGCCCAATGCATCCTGCTCCACAGGGGCAGGTGAAAGATTAAATGCACATTGATGTGGCCCTCAACGGGGGTCGGTCTTTATTTCCCAAGCATAGGAGGGGGGAGCATAATCAAGAGATATTTTTACATTATTTTCTAATCTTCTCTGCCGTGTACTCTGACCAGCTTGGGGCTGTTTTAT